GCACTGTGGGACCTGACTCCTAGGATGAGCCTCCTCGCACCGTGGGACCTGACTCCTAGGATGAGCCTCCTCGCACCGTGGGACCTGACTCCTAGGATGAGCCTCCTAGCACTGTGGGACCTGACTCCTAGGATGAGCCTCCTAGCACCGTGGGACCTGATCACTAGGGATGAGCCTCCCTAGCTCCGTGTGACATAACTCCTAGGGACGAGTCTCCCTAGAACTGTGGGACCTGTCAATTTTGTGGCCTACACATGCATTCAGAGGAATGATTTTTGGCCAACATGGGGGAATGTGGACAGAAGTCTGAGTACTTTTTCTATTTTCCAAAAGGGGCTGGGGAAGTCATACCCACAAACATTAACAGACCATTTATTTTCTATTAACAGGATTCTTCCTACCTCCTGTCCCTGGCATAGTATCTTTGAGATGTATATTTCGACCCATTACAGTATATTATTTTGCTTATTTCTTCCCAAGACACAGAACTTCTCTTTTCCTTGAGATGTAGATTAAGCCTTTCTTTAACTAATCTCTTCCCAAGACACAGATCTTCCCTTCCAATCACCAACCTAGGAATTGTGGAACCCACCTATAACCTATAGCCCTCACTTCTACATGTCCCGCCTTTTGGGGCCAGACCAATGGAAAAATTTCTTCATTAAATGTTGTCTGTCAATCTCAAAAACAAATAAAGGGAATCCCTGTACACGATCACCCCGAGAAAAGGCATGTGTGTCTCTTCTCCGGCCTAGGTCACTCACGTTTGGCTTGGAAATAAACCGCATTGAGTATTAATTATTAATTTTTACTGTTGGTTATTTTTCTGTCAACATGTATTTAATTTTATTTGTTGTTGTTATTATTATTATTATTTAATTTGAAGAGAAGGGGAGAGAGAGAAAGTGAGAAAGCGAGCTATTAGGTCTGAGACTTAAACCATGGTCGTCATGCCCAGAACCTTAACCACCACGTCACCTGCTGGCCCCTACAACTAGGTCTTGTCGACGGAAAAAAAGAACCAACTGTAAAATTAAAATGCGGTTGATTTTCAAGCCAACTGTGTGACCTAGGCCGGAGAAGAGGCACACATGCCTTTTCTCCGGGTGATCGTGTACAGAGGTTCCTTTTATTTGTTTTTGAGATTGACAGACAAACATTTAATGAAGAAATTTTTCCATTGGTCTGCCCAAAAAGGCGTGACATGGGGGATGGGGCTTGTAGGTTATAGGTGGGTTCCACAAATTCTTAGGTTGGTGATTTGAAGGGAAGATCCGTGTCTTAGTTAAAGAAAGGCTTAATCTACATCTCAAGGAAAAGAGAAGTTCTGTGTCTT